TATGAATAAAATTAATTTTGTAATAATTTATAAAAACAAATACGACCGCGACTCGCGAACTCTTCTATTCAAGCGCCCACTTTATCTTCACATTGTCGCTCCTGCAATAAACTAAAAGATACGAAGGAATGATATTTATCTCTTATTACTTAGCCTTTGAAGTCAAATACTTGTATCAAATCTGTGTAATATTGTGAGAGCCTGACTTGTGAGTGCGCGCGCGGGCACCTAGATGGCGCGTGATACTTACTCAATCATCGTGATCGTGGGCTCTGGCCGGGCCTCGTTGCCTTTCTTCCGCCGTCCATTTTGGAGAGCGCACGTGTTTGCGGAGGTGTCCCGATCGTGTCACAAGCAGCGAAGTTCTAAGGTCTGTTCTTTTCAGCTACACTGTTGCACTGGTGCAATAAATTAGAATGAGACAAATATATTTTATTTCACTTTAACTTATTGCACCCCAGTGTAGCAGTGCAGCTGAAAAGAACAGACCACTAGTAACCTGGAAAGGAACGAGAAGAGTGTTGAAGCTGGTACGCTTCCCAGATCCTAACGACTAGTCGTCTACAACAGTCCTAAAGTAAGATTTGTAAGTGTTAGGGAAATAGTCAGCGATTTACTACACAATTTGATTGTGCAGGTCCGTGCGTGTTCTTGCGAGTTCGTGCGCGTCCGGATAGTGGAACCAGTGGCAGAAGAAAATACACTTACGGTCAAGTGCTAACAAGAATACCCACCTCTCAATAGAGAATTACGAAATAACAGCTGAGGAAATAAGCGTCACGAGATTAACACCCCGACAAAACCAATTATTAAAATCGGCAAAAATATCCAAAGATCCCTTTCAAAGGAAGAAATAAATAAATATGTACAGAAACTAAATCAAGCGTTTGCCGAACATGAACAAAAGAGAAAAATTTGCGAACAACTTGATACATCATCATGGATCCTATGTCATCAAAGTTTACCGAATCTCTGTCCGAAAGAATTGAAAGAGCAACACGTGACTATCGTCGGGCTGAGTCCTTTAATCCCAAACACCATCCCAACCAGTCATTCCACGTGGAAAACAAACAAAACATAACACCGAAAGAATCGATAAATGTTACAAAGATAGATGTCCCTCTAGAAAGATCTCTAGAGTTTTACATGAGTAACCCAAAGAAAATTCCAACACTACCAATGGAGAGATGGGACAGCTTACTACAATATTGGAAAAATAAAAATGATGAAGCGCGTCAAGATTACTTGGCAAAGGTCACTCCAATTCTGAAAGAGGCGCTAAAATTTCAAAAACAAATGGAAAAGTACAAAGTAGGAAAATAGGAAGAAATCAATCGAGTTCTTCCCCCATGCTCAATTTTAAGCAACGTCATACGAAAAAGTACATTAATAACATCTTTATCGAAACCTCAGGTGAGTCAACAATTATTAAACTCCACACCGAGTACTCTTCCGGCAACAGGTACATCTGGAACAACACTCGTAACCTCTTCATCTATTAATCTTCCGTTTAAGCGTCAGAAACTATCAAGTGCCATTGAAGTACCAACCTAGGATAATGAGATAATAATAGAAGGAGAGCACAACACTAAAAACCCCACAGAGAAACCCAAAATCGCAAAAGAAAGAAGAAACACACAAAAAAAAGAAGGAAGAACCAAGATCGATTACCAATACGTAACACCTTCGGCATAAAAACCAAGACCAAGTGATATGAAACAGATAAGGAAACATCTCCTCGGACAAAGACATGAATGATTCGACACAGCACAAAGTCCATGATGATTATTAAGTCCGGACTAAGGGCGCACTGGTTTCAAAAGACAAACTGTCAACAGTGACCCGAGAACGAGTAAGTTTGTGACAAACTGCCGGTGGAGGAAAAATTGGCCCACCATTCAGGAAAAGACCGAGTCACAAAAAGAAAACAAAGTGACGTGGTCCATTACAAGATTAAAAAACTTCATCTATAAAAGTCATCTAATAATCGAATCGAGTTTTTTGTTATCTCTTGTTACAATCTTTTTGTTATCTTTTGTTATCTCTTAGAAGAATCATTTTCATGATAAACATGTATACGATTTTTAGTTATTTTATTTTATCTAATAAAGATAGCTTTCGCGGAATAAGGACTTTAGCCAGTTTTCTTTTAACATATAAAAATAAGACGTAATCTGTCGTATTGAGGGACGAGCTTGGGTAACTTTACAGAACCTAGCCGTATATATCCTTAACCATATATCTCCGTACAGTAGTTTTGCTTTATCATAATTTTTTAATTTATACTATAACCAATCTAATCTAATCAATTAAGTGAAACATTATCCAGATTCTTCTACTAATAGTGATTCTAACTGATTGAATCGCGTCATCGCGTTTCAGTCAGTACCGATTAGATCTTTTATCGTTTAAAAATCTGTTTAAATCTGTCAAAATCATATTCCGTATATAACTAACTTGGCGTCATTGTTGTTCGATAAGTGAAAGTTGTTTTGTTTACATTTCTTACCGGAATGAAATAAGTTACTTTTGATATTAATATATGAAACGTACTTGTAAGGAATGATAAGCCAGTATACGACAGTCTTTCGTATAGTTACCGTTCGACTGCTGAAAAATGAAATTCTATGAAAATATAATTTAATTTACGCATTTTATTGCATTTATAAATTTAATTGCATTTATAAAGTAATCTTAATTTAAATATTTTTTTAGTAGATGCTGCTATCTCGAACGACTAGCGGGGAGCTGGACCCCCCTAAAAACTAACCTAACCCAACCTATCGTCACATTAAGCGTCAGTCAATGTTTATTAAAGTTCAACTTTTGTGTTAATGTGATGAGTGTTAATGTGCGCAGCTTTCCGCTAGTCTTTCGAGATTGCAATACTTACTAAAAATATTTAAATTAAGATTAATTTATAAATGCAATAAAATGCGTAAATTAAATTATATTTCCATAGAATTTCATTTTTCAGCAGTCGAACGGTAACTATACGAAAGATTGTCGTATACTGGCTTATCATTCCTTACAAGTACATTCATATTCATATTCATATTCATAGTTTCATACGTCTAATATCAATAGTAACTTATTTCATTCCGGTATTACATCCTGCACAGACGTGAGTCACATTATTTATCTTTTATCCTCCTGTCGGCACCCAACAAACAGCTCCAAATCCTAATCGGTTTTCCCGTCTATCCCAATAAAAATTCGAACCGTAATTCCCGATAACTAGGAAATACGGAACCAAAAATCTCCTAATCCTCCAAGTAAGTTTCGCTGGACCTTAACATCAAAAGGAAACCGCCGTACCTTACCCATAACATCAGAAGGAGACACCAGATAACAAAAAAATTATATCCATTACTTTCCAACTTGCATCACCCTCTTCCGCCCTGTCCACAGATTCCCTCACCACCGAAAAATCCTCCAATTGCCGTCTCTCTTAAACGTACGATTTTCTCCACCCATTACCCCAGTCAAAGAGATCTTTTTAACCCTATCTGCTCATTTATCACTGGCTGCAACATTACCCCATGCCTTCCTCTTTTAACGAATCTAACACCTAGGATCCCCGAAATGTCATATTTTTCCTACCAAACCATCTCCAGCTAATCCCCTATAAAACCGCGACCCCGCGTTGTGCTCGCACTTCCTCGCTTGGTTCACGACTTCCTCTCTTGGGTCTCTTCTACTACTGGACAGACGTCGCATTCCTTTCTTCCGCTTACTTCAATTCACTTCATCTCTTCGTCACTACTTCTTCACAAGTGCTACCGCGCCAAAAATTGAAGGGACTTTGAGGAAACGTTGCCCACGAATTGACTGAGCCCATTGATCATCCTTAACCCCCATCTTGGTAAAGGTTATCACCGAAAAGTAAGTCCTACGAGTCTTTTATTTTTCTTTTTTTTTGTTTTATGTGATTCCTGTCGCGCTAATTAATTGTGATAATTCTGAAGAGTCCAAAATTTGGTTTTGTCCTTGAGATCTACTTTCCCCTTCATTTCCTACACCCCGTATTAACCTTGAAGACTAACATTCATCCTCACCTTCTACATTCACATGCACACCACACACATTTACACACGCGTACCCGATAATTTTTGACACTGTAACCCTTCGATAGTAATTGACCGCGATAAAAATTGTAACGAGGCGCAAGAAAATAAGTGTAAATCATTAATGTCTAAAATTTCGGATTACAATTTAATTTAAAATTTTATCTTAATTTTCCAACTTCCTTTCCATTCGATTATTCGCTCTTAATCCGTCCCGCGATATAGAGATTCGGTTCTCTGATCGAAAAAGGACCACTCGCCGTACGTTGACACCTGTGTAAACGACCCTTTTGGTCGCTGACGCGTTTCTCGACCTGCGTGTAAGGCCGAGGCTTTCGTCACGTTGCGTTTTTCGCCAGAACGCAACCTACTGACGTAATACCGGTAAGAAATGTAAACAAAACTTTCACTTACCGAACAACATGACAATACGAAACTAGATATCAGTATGTATAGTATCAGAAAATTACACTATACTCAATTACATTATATACATTTTCTTTGTTAATAACTTTTTAATGAACAACGAGCTACGGTTAAAATCTCTTGAATATTATTCAGGATGGTCAACTGTATAATATATCCAAAGATTATTAAAATCAGAGAGTGGTCCGTTATTCTGCATATTTACCTCCAAATGAGCGGTGTGCAACTTTTCGTGTCCAAATGAGCGGTGTGTAACTTTTCGTGTCTAAATGAGCGGTGTGCAACTTTTCGTGTCCAAATGAGCGGTGCACAATTTTCGGTGTCCAAATTAGCTGTGTGCAACTTTTCGTATCCAAATGAACGGTATGCAACTTTTCGTGTCTAAATGAGCGGTGTGCAACTTTTCGTGTCCAAATGACCGGCGTGCAACTTTCAGTGTCCAAATGAGCGATCCGCATTTTTCTCGTGTTCAAATGCACTGTGTCCAAATTCATCGTGTCCAATTGCACCGTGTCCAATTAAACCGTGGGCAAAATTTCGTGTCTAATTGCAACGTGTCCATTTGCTCCATATCCAATTGTACCGTGTCCAAGTACACCGCTCCCAAATGAAAGTACGTTAGCACGACCAGGATCTATACAATCAGGAACGCAACAAAACATATTAAATACTGGAGTATAAGAAACTCAGGTATCACAAAGTAAGTACGTCTAAATGTTAGTTAAATCAGATCATCACATACATTACATATTTTAACCGATTTTCTTACACCGTGTTGTACTATTTCTCTTAATTCATGATCGTGGCTGCAGGAAATTGCCATGGAAAAATATGTACAATAATAAATATATCATTTAATTAAATTGTATGACAATATTATAAGATAAAATTACGATATTTTATATAATTTGCATAGTATGAATAAAATTAATTTTGTAATAATTTATAAAAACAAATACGACCGCAACTCGCGAACTCTTCTACTCAAACGCACACTTTATCTTCACTTTGTCGATCATGCAATAAACTAACAGATACGAAGGAATGATATTTATCTCTCATTACTTAGACTCTGAACTCAAATATCTTATTCAAATCTGAGTAATATTGTGAAAGTCTGATTTGTGAGTGCGCGCGCGGACACCTAGATGGCGTGTGATTCTTACTCAATCGTCGTAACCGTGGGCTTTGGCCGAGACTCGTGGCCTTTCTTCCGCAGTCCATCTTGGAGAGTACACGTATTCGCGGAGGTGTCCCGATCGTGTCACAAGCAGCGGAATTCTATGGTCTGTTTTTTTCAGCTACACTGTTTCACTGGTGCAATAAGTTAGAATGAGACATACATATTTTATTTCACTTTAGCTTATTGCACCAGTGTACCAGTGCAGCTGAAAAGAACAGACCACTAGTAACCAGGAGAGGAACGAGAAGAGTCCGGAAGCTGATACGCTTCCCAGGTACTAACGACTAGCCGTCTACAGCAATCCTAAGGTAAGATTTGTAACTGTTGCGGAAATAGTCAGTTAGCGATTTACTACACAGTTTGATTGTGCAGGTCCGTGCGTGTTCTTGCGAGTCTGTGCGCGTTTGGATAGTGGAAACAGTAGCAGAAGACAACACACTTACGGTCAAGTGTTAACAAAAATACAAACCCACCTCTCAACAGAGAATTACGAAATAACAGCGGAGGAAATAAGCGTCACGAGATTAACACCCCGACAAAACCAATTATTAAAATCGACAAAAATATCCAAAGATCCCTTTCAGAAGAAGAGATAAATAGATTTTGTATCAAAATTATATCAAGCGTTCGCCGAACACGACCAAAAGGAAAAAATTTGCGAACAATTAGATATATCATCATAGTTTCCCATATTGTTCATCGAACTTCTGTCCGAAAGGGACAGTTCACAGAGTAACACGTGAATATCGTCGCTGAATCCTTTAACCCCAAACATTATCAAGCAGTCATTCGCTATGGAAAACAAACAAAACACAACACAGAACGAATCAATAAATGTTGGAAAGATGGATGTTTTCCTAGAAAGAACTCCAGAGTTTTACCTGAATGACCACAGTAGAATTCCATTAATATCAATGGAGAAATGGAACCGTTACCTACAACATTGGAATAATAAACATGATGAATCGCGTCAAGATTACTTGGCAAAAGTCACTTCAATTCTGAAAGAGGCGCTAAAATTTAAAAAAGAAATGGAAAAGTACAAAGTAGGAAAATAAGAAGAAATCAATCGAGATCTTCCCCCATGCTCAATTTTAAGCAACGTCATACGAAAAAGTACATTAGTAACATCTTTATCGAAACCTCAGGTGAATCAACAATTATTAAACTCCACACCGAGTACTCTTCCGGCAACAGGTACATCTGGAACAACACTCGCAACTTCTTCATCTATTAATCTTCCGTTTAAGCGTCAGAAACAATCAAGTGCCATCGAAGTACCAACCCAGGATAATGAGGTAATAATAGAAGAAGAGCACAACACTAAAAACCCCACAGAGAAACACAAAAAACGCAAAAGAAAGAAGAAACACACAAAAAAAAGAAGGAAGAACCAAAATCGATTACCAATACGAAACACCTTCAGCATAAAAACCAAGACCAAATGATATGAAACAGATAAGGAAACATCTCCTCGGACAAAGACATGAATGATTCGGCACAGCACAAAGTCCATGATGATTATTAAGTCCGGACTAAGGGCGCACTGGTTTCAAAAGACAAACTGTCAAGAGTGACCCAAGAACGAGTAAGTTAGTGACAAACTGCTGATGGAGGAAAAATTGGCCCACCATTCAGGAAAAGACCGAGTCACAAAAAGAAAACAAAGTGACGCGGTCCATTACAAGACTAAAAAACTTCATCTAAAAAAGTCATCTAATAATCGAATCGAGTTTTTTGTTATCTCTTGTTACAATCTTTTTGTTATCTTTTGTTATCTCTTAGAAGAATCATTTTCATGATAAGCATGTATACGATTTTTAGTTATTTTATTTTATCTAATAAAGATAGCTTTCGCGGAATAAGGACTTTAGCCAGTTTTCTTTTAACATATAAAAATAAGACGTAATCTGTCGTATTGAGGGACGAGCTTGGGTAACTTTACAGAACCTAGCCGTATATATCCTTAACCATATATCTCCGTACAGTAGTTTTGCTTTATCATAATTTTTTAATTTATACTATAACCAATCTAATCTAATCAATTAAGTGAAACATTATCCAGATTCTTCTACTAATAGTGATTCTAACTGATTGAATCGCGTCATCGCGTTTCAGTCAGTACCGATTAGATCTTTTATCGTTTAAAAATCTGTTTAAATCTGTCAAAATCATATTCCGTATATAACTAACTTGGCGTCATTGTTGTTCGATAAGTGAAAGTTGTTTTGTTTACATTTCTTACCGGAATGAAATAAGTTACTTTTGATATTAATATATGAAACGTACTTGTAAGGAATGATAAGCCAGTATACGACAGTCTTTCGTATAGTTACCGTTCGACTGCTGAAAAATGAAATTCTATGAAAATATAATTTAATTTACGCATTTTATTGCATTTATAAATTTAATTGCATTTATAAAGTAATCTTAATTTAAATATTTTTTTAGTAGATGCTGCTATCTCGAACGACTAGCGGGGAGCTGGACCCCCCTAAAAACTAACCTAACCCAACCTATCGTCACATTAAGCGTCAGTCAATGTTTATTAAAGTTCAACTTTTGTGTTAATGTGATGAGTGTTAATGTGCGCAGCTTTCCGCTAGTCTTTCGAGATTGCAATACTTACTAAAAATATTTAAATTAAGATTAATTTATAAATGCAATAAAATGCGTAAATTAAATTATATTTCCATAGAATTTCATTTTTCAGCAGTCGAACGGTAACTATACGAAAGATTGTCGTATACTGGCTTATCATTCCTTACAAGTACATTCATATTCATATTCATATTCATAGTTTCATACGTCTAATATCAATAGTAACTTATTTCATTCCGGTATTACATCCTGCACAGACGTGAGTCACATTATTTATCTTTTATCCTCCTGTCGGCACCCAACAAACAGCTCCAAATCCTAATCGGTTTTCCCGTCTATCCCAATAAAAATTCGAACCGTAATTCCCGATAACTAGGAAATACGGAACCAAAAATCTCCTAATCCTCCAAGTAAGTTTCGCTGGACCTTAACATCAAAAGGAAACCGCCGTACCTTACCCATAACATCAGAAGGAGACACCAGATAACAAAAAAATTATATCCATTACTTTCCAACTTGCATCACCCTCTTCCGCCCTGTCCACAGATTCCCTCACCACCGAAAAATCCTCCAATTGCCGTCTCTCTTAAACGTACGATTTTCTCCACCCATTACCCCAGTCAAAGAGATCTTTTTAACCCTATCTGCTCATTTATCACTGGCTGCAACATTACCCCATGCCTTCCTATTTTAACGAATCTAACACCTAGGATCCCCGAAATTTCATATTTTTCCTACCAAACCATCTCCAGCTAATCCCCTATAAAACCGCGACCCCGCGTTGTGCTCGCACTTCCTCTCTTGGTTCACGACTTCCTCTCTTGGGTCTCTTCTACTACTGGACAGACGTCGCATTCCTTTCTTCCGCTTACTTCAATTCACTTCGTCGAGGCACTCTTCATCTCTTCGTCACTACTTCTTCACAAGTGCTACCGCGCCAAAAATTGAAGGGACTTTGAGGAAACGTTGCCCACGAATTGACTGAGCCCATTGATCATCCTTAACCCCCATCTTGGTAAAGGTTATCACCGAAAAGTAAGTCCTACGAGTCTTTTATTTTTCTTTTTTTTTGTTTTATGTGATTCCTGTCGCGCTAATTAATTGTGATAATTCTGAAGAGTCCAAAATTTGGTTTTGTCCTTGAGATCTACTTTCCCCTTCATTTCCTACACCCCGTATTAACCTTGAAGACTAACATTCATCCTCACCTTCTACATTCACATGCACACCACACACATTTACACACGCGTACCCGATAATTTTTGACACTGTAACCCTTCGA